TAATATTAATACTTTAGAGGGAACTAATAACTAATAGAATAAAGTTTAAAAGAATAAAGCTTAAGGGAATAAAGTTTAAAAGAATAAAGTTTAAAGGAATAAAGTTTAAGGGAATAAAGCTTAAAGGAATAAAAATTAAGGGAATAAAAAGCTAAGTAATATAGATAAAGAGAAGATTAGTTATACTAATAATAACTAAAAATTACTTAATAATAATAATATATCTAAAGTAATTAGTAATTATTAGAATAAAGAGTAAAGTAATAGAGATAAGTAGAATATTAGCCCTTATAATAAGATTTAAGCCTTTTTTAGTAGAAATTATACTTTATAGGAAATCTTTAGTAATAATAATATAATTAATAGAAATATAAAAAATAGTTTTATAACTAAAGAACTTTTTAATAAAAGAAATAGTAATAATATCCTTAATATTAAATAAGAAGGTTTTTTTAAAATAATATAGAAGAATAATAGTAAGTATAAGAAACTATTAGATATATAGCTAGATAATATAAATTTAGAGTAAAGAATCCCTAAGTATTAAATAATATAAATAGGAAATAGTAACTTTAGAACTATAGAATAAGAAATAACTTAATTAAATTAAAAATCTAAAGAATTTAGTAATAAGAATATAAAACTAAATAGTAGAGATTATATATAATATATTTTAAAGATATATAGTAGTTAAGCTTCTATTTATAGACTTATACTACTAAAATAAAATTTTATATAAGATTATTATAATAGTTATTATAATATATTATAATTTTAGGAGGTATAGTATTACTTATAACCCTATAAATATAAATAGAATCTCTACCTATACTTATATTTATATCTACCTATATACCTAGTAAACCTATCTACCTATAGCCTAAGTCTATTTATAACCTAACCTATTTATATAGCTACCTGTGGGTATCTATAGCATAGGTAATTCGAAGCCTACCTGTGGAAGGTCTTGTACCCCTGAGCGATAGCGCTAGTATCGTTGTTGAGGTCAACTCCAAGTCGTCGCGATGGAGGCCCGGTGACAAAGTCATCAACGCAACCAACTCAACCTGGAAAGCTGGTCAGACTGCTGCAACTTTCAACAACAAAGTTGGCGGCGGATCAGGCGACATGGACGGAGTATTGCAACAGTATTCTGTGTTCGACGAAGACGCGCTTGCGCCGATGCCATCGAATCTCAATTTCGAAGAGGCCGCATCCCTCAGTGGACCGTACGTCACCGCCTGGAATACGCTCTTTGGGGGCCCTCAGTATCTGAAGAAGGGAGACGTTGTGGTCATTCAGGGCACCGGTGGTGTTAGTATCGCAGTGCTTCAGGTGAGTTGTGCTCAGGTTGCTTGTATCTGGTGGTCAGAGACACTGACAGGTTCGAGATTGCTGCAGCAGTTGGGGCGGTGACCATCGCCTTCTCAACATCAGAGGACAAACTTGATCTCCTTCGCGAACTCGGGGCGACGCATGTCTTCAATTACAAAAACAACCGCAACTGGAGCAAAGACGTTCTCAAAGTCACGCAAGGACGAGGAGCTAACCACGTCGTTGACGTCGTAGGAGCCGCGACCATCGCCGAATCTCTTCGTGCGCTTCGTCAAGATGGTCTAGTTTCGGCCATCGGGTTCCTGTCCGGCTCCGAAAAACATGATCTGATACCCGATCTTGTTTTTGGCGCGAAGACAAGTAGGTTTAGAGCAATCCTTAGTGCAACACCGACTGACTTAGTTCGCAGTCCGAGGCCTAATGTTTGGGAGTCTGGGGATGTTCCAGGAGATGAGTGCCTTCGTCGAGAAGAACAACATGAAGCCGCCGGTCGCTGAGGTGTTTGGATGGAAAGATGCAAAGAAGGCCTACAAAGCTCTGTTCAGGCAGGGCTTTGTGGGGAAGGTTGCGATCAAGGTCGCCCAAGACTGACCGTCGAAGAACATTTCTTAGGTAGTGATTGAGATACTGTAGGAGAACACGAGCCTCGAGTTCTTAAAGATACACCTGCTTTTTCAAGCACCTGCATTTGCAATTCCATGATAAAAGTAATTCAGTTTCATCTGCACACAATGTCCAGCGAGGCATGACCCCAGTCCGATGCACCGCGTTGGGCGGCATCGGTCGAAAACGCTGTAAGTGCTGACATACAGGGGCTTCAGCGATCTTGAGGGGACATGTAACTAAAACCGATGTGTTAGCGCACCAGAGCGATCGCCATGCAAACGGGCGCGACAACTAACATTGACGGGCGAAGCACGAGTAGCTACGCGTTTTGCAGTTACAGTGTTTGGGATAAGAATGTAAGCCATGTCAGCATGCGGCAGAAAGTTGCCGTGTTGAAAGGATTCCAGCCTTATGACGCATTACATTTTCGTGTGAAAGCTGTCCTTTGCCTGATGAGATGTTGGCATTGAAATGGATATTTTACTGTCTGCGTGAGTCCTTTTCGTGGCATCGAAGTCAGCCATCAAAAATCTAGTATTCGTACCCAGCTTTACAGAGGAGCAACTGCCTGACCCACACTATCATGGCACCCCTGAATATTCTCATCGTCGGCTGTAGCATCGCCGGGCCGACTCTCGCCACTTTTCTCTTACTCACCGAGACACCGGCGTCTGAGAAACCTCGCATCACGATCTTGGAGAGAGCACCAGTTTTCCGTCCTCAGGGCCAGAACATTGATGTTCGAGGTGCGGGTGTGACCATCATTCGTAAGCTCGGACTTAAAGCCGCCATACGCGGTGCCACCACAGGCGAAGAAGGCGTACATTTCGTCGATAAAAATGACCACATATGGGCCTCTTTCGGTGCCGACAAGAGTGGTAGAACGCAAACTCCCACAAGCGACATCGAGATTTTGAGAGGCCGGATGGCAGATTTGTTGTACAAGAAGAGTCGACAGGTTAGCAAGGCGGTGCAAGATGAAGGTGGGGCCGGGATTGAATACATCTTCGGGGACTACCTGGATCAGCTGGAACAAGATGGCGACAAAGTCCATGCCCACTTTGCAAAGAGTGGCGAAAGAGGGACTTACGACATTGTTGTTGGGGCTGACGGTCTCCAAAGTGGCACCCGAAAACTGGCTTGGGGACAAGAAGGTGAGGAGGAGAGGATGAAGAGGCTCGGCATGTACGGCGGCTTCTTCAGCATGCCGCGCGGCCCCACAGATTCGGAATGGCGCCGGTGGTTCCATGCCGAAGGCCGCCGTGGAATCATGATCCGTCCATCGGGTTTGAACGACCGTACGACGGTCTTCATGGCCATTGTCAACGACCAAGATGACAGACTTCGGGTAGCCGCAGAGAGAAAAGGGGGAAGCACTGCAGCGCAAAAAGCGATCCTGAAGGAATATTTTGAGGGTCTGGGATGGGAGACTGATCGGATTATCAAGGAAATGATGGCGACTGATGATTTCTACTATGACACCATCAGCCAGATCAAGATGGACAAGTGGAGCAAAGGCAGAGTTGTTCTCCTGGGAGATGCAGGATACTGCGCGAGTCCGTTGTCAGGCATGGGAACGACCCTGGCACTGAACGGCGCCTACAACTTGGCGGGCGCTATCACACAATTCCCGAACGACTTGCAAGCCGCCTTTGACCAATATGAGCAGAAGATGCGGCCGACGGTTGACAAAGCGCAGCGTTTGGCACCAGGCATGCCTCACCTGTTTCACCCAGAGACGGCCTGGGGAGTCTGGATGTTAAACATCTTCGTGTTCTGCCTTTCGTGGTCAGGATTGATGGCGCTTGCGGTGAAATGGGGGCCGCCAGCTAATGAGGTTCCCGTTGACGAGTATGGCTTCAGATCTCTCCCAGAGGAGCAAGTGCTATGAAGCCGAGGGATGCCGTTGTCCGGTGACTGCAAGTGGCTTATTGTGATATAGAAGCTCAGCTCATAAACTTGCATCCAACTTGTCGAAGACTCCAACGTACTCAGATTAAAAGTTGATTGTAGCCTAATTCAAATGATATCATCGCTGGGCCAAACAGCATCCTACGGTTGGAGCCAAGCATCGCCAACTGCATCAAAGTTGCATGCCAGTGTCATTGCTGTGTCGGGGAATATTTCCCAACACCTCAAGATTCCGCTGTTGCTCGGATATATATCAAAGTCCGCGAAGGAATTAGGCAAACTATTCGGTCGCGCAAGAGGCTCTGCTTTGATCCGAGCTCATTGTTGACATCCCGCACCGCGCACCGACGTCGCGCACGTGGAAGGCAGCAAGTTTGGGACTTCAACCAGTGCTTCGAAAATAACAAAAAGCCGAATTCACAGTTTCTGGTTAGTACTCTGGGATTTTCTCATCACTGAAAGATACCAAGAAGTCACCCGATGACTGCCAGAGTGTCACTGGAATTGAATGGTTAGTTCCCCCCCCTGCATCAGGGAGGCTATGTCATCTGAATATAATGTACAATGACGCGAATTACGGGATAGAAAACTTCGGACGGGCGAACAGCATTATGCTTTGTCTAAATTTGAAGTTGAAGCTGGTTCGGACGGCCGCTTCTGCTCGCCCCTCCGTCCCGTCTTTTAGAAGCCCGGGCCAACCACCCCACACGAGCTACCAGGAGACTAAGATTCTCGGACGGTCTTGCGCGACCCAGGAGGAGCATACGGCAAGCTAAAGGCAGTTGCATTTTTGGGTTGGTTTTCGTGTCGTGGGCAGAAAGTAATCTTGTTGTCTGGGTGAGAGGTGCAATATGCGGTGCACATCCAAGAATACCCGCGCCCGTTTTGAGGCACAGAGTCTGATGACAACATGAACCCGACATGCAGGATCATGGTCTAGACTTGGGTCCAATCTAGACTGCTGTGCCCGCAAGCTCTCAAATGATGCACTCGGTGATGTTTATAAAGATCTCTTGTCTCCAGCTGAATCCAGATCTTTTCCCCCATCAAATCACCAGCAGTATTCCGATCAAGTTCTCAGGCTAAGCTCACAGTCACATATTTCTTAATTCCTTGATTTAGCTTTCGAAACGCCTTAAATATACACAATGTTGGCCAAGTGTTACACGTCACTTGCGTTGTGTGCCGCGTTGCTCGCCGGCGGAGCCGACGCACAAGGGGCAAACTGGGGAGGGTTCAACACAATTCGCAACATCTGGACTGCTGGAGCGTCCATTGATTACATTGGCTCCGGCCCGCTGTAAGTTTAAGACTGAAACAGGAGCAAGTACTTATATTGACGGAGTTGTGCTTCAGGAGCTACAGCACAACTGCCAATGGACCCAACCACATCAACTACATCGTCAACGCGCGCGGAGCTAACAACGTCAACCTCAACAAATTCGCTTTCCCCGGCGCCGTCACCGACAGCCGTTATGCCACGCCTACTTCGGTCCTAGGCTTCAACCCTATTATCAACTGGAACGACCAGATCACCAACATCGCCAACGTCTTCTCAGCAGCTCGTCTGGCAGGTAATGCCTCATCCAGAGACTCCCTGTTCATTTTCCTTGGTTCCAACACCGGAAACGATGTGCTCAACACATACAACACCACCAACCAGCCTCAGCTCATCACCAACCTGATTGGCACAATTCGCACGAAGTTCGACCAGGTAAGCAATTCCATTAAGGTAACCGAATTGCATTGACCGCTAATGGAACTTGAAGATCTACAACGCTGGTGCCCGCAACTTCATCTTCCTCTCTGTCCTGCCTGCGGAGCTCATTCCCCTCATCCAGAGCCGCGGTGCAACCGACATTGCCAAGGTTGCCGACTTTGCCCGCAACTACCAGACGGCTGTCGTAGCTCTGATCAACGAGCTCAACAACAACACCAAGTACCGTGGACAGATCACCATCTTCTCTCCGGACTTCACTCAGACTCTCCGTGACATCAAGAGCGGTGCATTGAGGACTGGACCTACCGCAGGATACCTGGACCGTTCCGGATACTGCGCCGATGTTGGGCCTATTGGCGAGTTTGTGTAAGTTTCCAAATTTTGCGACATGTCGATTGCATCTCAAACTACGGCACCGAGTCTTCATACTGGAAGATTCGTCATTGAAACATCGGCTAACGTTTTCACAATATCTAGCCCACCCAACCCCGACTACACTTCGCCTAACTGCCAGTACTCGGCCCGCAAGTACCTCTTCCACGACCAGATCCACTTCACTTCGCCAACCCACTGCGAGTATGCTCTCAACTCCCTGCGTGCCATGGGAGTTACTGCAACTCCTCAGCAGCTGTCTTGTCAATTCGCTTAGAGAACATTGGCAGGATCGGAGGACAGCCGGCTGTGTACATAGAATGCAAACCATTTTGTTGATAGAAGAGCCATCGTGACTCACTGCCGAACACGAGGCCTGGGTTTCGAGCAGTTTTACAGGCTAGAACGAATAAGAGACAAATTGCTAACTCGAATGAGTGTAAAAACGTGCGCAAAAATATCGACGATTTTAGCGCTTTGACGAAAATCTCAGAACTTATGTCAGAATATGCAACGATGCAAGGATCATTTGTGCAGCTGGGATGCTAAGAGCCCCATTAATTCCCCAATCTGGGCAATGTATCCCGTACTGGGGCGCCGCGGACAGAAACGGGTCGCGCGGCCTCCGAAACCCAGCGCGCAAAAGAAATAAAACTAAAATAACGACATATGGACAGATGCTTCCTAGAACGGTCGAAGACACAAACTGTGCTGCCTTCTCATATTTCGGGCCCCGACCTCTCCTCCCCCGAAGACAAAACGCAGGTTGCTTCCAGTCTTGCGGATTCGAATCGGCTCCCACGGTACGCGACATTCATATTGACTGGCAATCCTCCGATTGGCGACCCCCACTGATCGAGTGCCACTATTACACGCCCCTGAGGAAGCAAGACACGAAGGATTACAGCATGGACGACAGCCAACTGGACGCCAGTGGTCATGAAGATGCCCCAGACGATGGCCCCGAAGAGGCGCCTGAGCCGACCTCAGCTAATCAACAAGTCACTATTCGCAGAGCAGTACGTGTTTGCTGGTTTGTTCATGAAGATGAAGGGCTGATTTAGAGTCTAGTGCGACGCTTGTAGAGCAAGAAAAGTGAGTTGATATACAAACAGCTGATGTCTTGGACCAGCCCACATGCCCAGAAACGACGATGTGCATCATTGCTTGGCATCACGTCAGACTTGACAGCACCAACCGGTCACTCAAGAACGAATGCTTACCTTATTTCATGCATAGATCCGATGCAATAGAGAATCACCTTGTTCTTATTGCACTCATGCCAAGATCGAGTGTACCCATGCAGACAATAAGCCTAAGGAAAAAAGGACTAGAATCCTCATCACCCCACAATAGTAAGTCGATCCCGCCTGCAACAACGAACATCTCACCTTCGGCAAAGCGAAATCTACTCTGAGCTTGCTTTTTTGTGAACGTGGTACTGTGATGCACATGATGATAACTTGCGTGCTACAGTGAAAGGAAGATCGACCAGATTGACCGTCGACTTGAGACGGTTATCAGGCTCCTTCATGATATGAAGGTCAACCCCTCGGCTGGAACTACCAGCAGTGATAGGTCAGGCGGAGTCTTGGGAACACCCCCTACGGAGGGGATGTCACTATTTTCCCAAGATGGGCCTCCTACATCAACAAATACGCCATCGAGCCACGCTCTCCAGGCGGACGAAGAGTCCAGCGCGGTCGTTGAAGGAGAATCATCTCTGGCGGCCCACTCGGTATTCGCGACGGAGTTCCTTCAGAAAGTGGTGAGCACCAAGTCACTGCAGGATTCAAGCCTCGACCTGGGAGAGACGCTGGAAGCGCTATCTCAAATCGTCACAGCTCTCAAGCAGCAGCCAGTTGCGGGAGAGATGACCTATCCTCATGCAAAGCCGGTACAAAGGCAACGCATTCAGGGTCTTGAGTTGCCACCCATTCAGAAAGCTGTGAACACCATTCGCGTTGCAAAGAGTAAGTCTCCTTCCCGACGTATGTTCAACGAGGAATTGACTCATGCGAGGCGAAGGCCAACGACTTTCTGGAATGGCATGGATCTACGACTTCCTGCCAACCCGCCGATTTCCAGACCTCTGTCTTAATGTCTACTTCTCAGAAAACCACTCCGAATACGACTTCATCACTGTCAACGGCGGTCTCTACTCACTTTTCACCGACTACGCTGCACAAATCTCACCAGAAGATAAGAAAGAGTACCAAGAGTACGCAAGAATGTGTAGGACAAATTTGGAGACCAGCTTGTCAAACCTCCCACTTCACTTGCCAGCATCTGCCGACGTGATTGTAGCTCTTCTGTTCGGAGTGAGTCAAAAGAGGTTTTTCTTTCCGGGCGCAATTGCTAACTACGCCAGACATTCCACGCTGTCGAGATTTCAAAACCATCACTCGCATGGACGCTGGCATCAAAAGCCTCAGAATTATGTCAGACTTTGGGCTACCACAGAGTGGAATGCCTCAAGAACACAAAAGATGACGGAAAACCCAGGGTTCGCGGCATGCACTGGCACCAATTCCTCTTCTGGAACGTCTACTATATCGACAAGAGCCTATCACTTCGCTTGGGTCGTGCGTCAACAATCCCCGACTGGCACATCACCATGCCAGAGCCCTCATTAGAGGATCCCTTGGAGGACCCTCTACTACCGTACTACGTCCTATGGATCCACACCGCCAAGTGCCAGGGAAAGATCTATGAGATGTTGTACAGCCCAGACTCCATGGCACAGCCTTACCATGTCCGCCAGACTCGCGTGCATGAGCTTGTCTCCATGCTCCATGACGTAGAAACGCGGACACAAGAGGCGAATGTGAGTATTTAGACATATTACTGAAGCTGGACAACACTGACTCTCATAGCAGGCCAAATGGGGTGACAGGGCCCGAGAAATGGTGGAAGGGGCTTTTGTCGATTTCTGTCTCATATCAGACTCGGTTCTTCGCCTGTCAATGTTGACAATGGTATACAGAGCTGCGCCACGCGCTGAAGGTTCTCCCACGACTTTCAGCCCTGAGTGCATAAAGGCCGCTAGAGCAGCTCTTGAGAAACATCAAGAGTGTGTTTCGGTCATGCGGAAGTCTCATGATGTCTACTTTGCGACTTACATCCACTGGTTAGCTTCTTAATCTTGAACTACTACGGACCGCTGCTGACACTATTGCAGGACTATCATGTTCGCACCATTCATACCCTTCATCGTTCTCTTCTGCCAAGTTATCGAGACGCAAGATCAGCAAGACTTGGCTCGTCTACATGGCTTCATCCTCTTCCTTCAGGAAGCAAACACTCTCTCTGACGCGGCGCACAAGATGCATCGCCTATTCCAGGTGCTCTACAGCGTCGCTCTCCGGTTTGTTGAATTCCGAACGTCCACGCCACAGGCGCAACAGACACAGGCGAGCGCCGAGATGGATGCTTACCTTGCTGCCCTTGGATTCCCTGCAAAAGGGGGCAATGGCGGAAATCAGCAGGTTCAGCAACAACAGCAGCACCAACAACATCAACATCAGATGGACTTTTCTCAAAATGCGAGCCAGCCATCTCAGATGGCGGGGGGCACTGTGATGTCGGGTATGGGAGGGGACGCCATGGATGAGGGGCTGATGAAGCCTGGAAACCCAATGATGTGGATGACGAATGCGGCCCAGCTGGAGGACTTCTTGTACAGCAACCAGGCCATGTTGGACCTGCTGCAAGAGCCCAATTTCGAGTCAGGTCAGCACCCTTAACTTGACTTTCGCTTGTGAAAGTCAATGAAGGTGCGGGTTTGCAATTTGTAACATAAAATCACCGAGAGCATAGATCCCGTGGGAGACAGACATCGCCTTTGTAAACTACCTAACGACCTTCAACGACAAGGTCTCATCTTCTCTCACATCCAAACCAAGAACAGAGATCTGCATCACAGAATGGTTATTTTTGTCTTGGATAGCATGTTAGACTTCCAGACGCTTTCAAACCAGTGGTCCCTTTCCGACTGATCCGCGCAAATGACTTCCAGCGTTCCAACCCGTATGTATGCGCCCTCAGAGCTTTCGGGGTCTTGAGTCACCACCATGAAAAAGTCTCGCGTTCTAGTCAAAGTCAGTTGACTCTTGTCTGTCCTCATTCCCCTGATATACAAAAGTGCTGCTGGAAGAAAAGCGCAGTGGTAACAGAACCCAGAGTTGTAATGCTGGCCATTACTTCCTCTGCAGATGTAACTCTTCTCTAGCTTTACGACTGTCGGGTCGACCCATAGAGACGCTTTTGAGGGGCCGAACTCAGGCGGAGGTTCTCCATTAGGGGGAACGCAATCCTGTTGCCATTCCCGATTGTTTTCACGAGCGTAGAGAAGAAATTTCCCGTAGACGCGGTTCGTCCAGCGTCTCTTAACGTCCCACCGTGAACAAGGCTTCTGAATGAAGACAGGCATCCGACATGCATTTACCACAAGGCGGCCGTACGACACTGCGCCAGTTGGATCAGGGCCTCGCGGTGTGCAAGTGACTTTTGCTGTCTTCGAAATTCCGGTAGTCTTGTAATCGAGAATTTCGGCTCCATTGAAGATGGGATATTCGACTTTGCATCCACTCCCCGTCGAAGCCCACGACCAAGACGGCGCGATCCACTTCCGACGCAAAATCGTTTCGCGTTGTTCCCGCCAATTAGCCACGGCCGACACATGCCACATCAAGTCTTGCTCCAGATTGTTTCTCCAAAGCCCTGCAAGAAAGGTGTCTTGGGTGATTTCAGCCATCTCACGGGCCAGACCAGAGAGTGCAGGCAACATATCTGAGGTCTTGGTGAGATTAAGACAGGTATATTCGCCAACCACTCGATGCCACCTTTCGTAAGGGTCAATCTTTCCGTTCTCTGGGTTGAGAGCTGATGATGATGTGGTCGTGCGGTTGTTCAGCAATGACACATACTTCGACCTCGAACGCAGCGGGGTGTATGTGCCAGAAAGACCAACGACGTTGTCCCAATCATAGTGCTGTTTACCACCGCACTCGCATGTGTACCCCTTCCCGCAGTCGAATGCAAGCTCTCCGTAGTTGCAGTGAATGACCCGGCGAGATAGAAGCCGCTCTTGGAGGCACCAGGCTCTGTTGAAAAGCGGGAAGTATCGTTAAAGTTTATCGTGCTGTGCCAAGTTCCGCGTCGCGCCTGTAGCTAGCGTGATGAGGAAGTTGTCTCCGGTTTGGTTTGTGATCTTGAAGCATACTGGTGGGGAAGTCTTGGAATAACATCCTCCTGTTAAGTCATGAGACCAGCTGATGTTACGGTCAGCTATCTGATAGTAGGGTCTGCTAATAGAAGCTAGGGATTAATATATTATAATAGTACACTGAGGTTGTGGTCTGAGTTATAGGTTATAAACTATAATAGATTAGGTCTTTTAGAGACTAAGGTAATTAGTTTTAAACTTAATAAGTAATTTATAGTAAAAGTAAGCTAAGAGTATTTATAAGGATAAATATTAAGTTAATTACTAAAGAGCTATAGAAGTCTAATTATAAACTAAACTTAAGGTTATATTATATATAAGTCTTAAATAGTTCTTTTATTTAACTTTATTAATTCCTAACTAAATACTAATAAGTACTTAGTAATTATAAGTAAGTACTTAGTAGTCCTTACTAAGTACTTAGTAATCTATACTATCTACTTAGTTTTATCTTATTATTATATAACTTATACTATAGTTCTTCTATTATCTAAGTAAGTTCTTATTATTCCTATAATCCTATAGTATAAATATCCTATCCTAGCTACTTATTACTTAAGTAGGTTAGTTAACTATTATTTATATATAATAGGTTATAATATTAGGTCCCCTCTCTAAAGGTTTTATCCTTAAAGCTTAATATAAGTAAGTTATTAGTCTTAAGTTAGGGATCTATTAATTATACTTCCTATTATTACTTATAATACTAATACTATATTAGGTTATATTATTAAGAATCTTATAGTTTCTACGCTTTATTACTATTATTATTCTCTTAATATTACTAAGAATAGTTTTAAAGTTATACCTTATTATTACTATTATTTAAAAGGGCTCTATTATAAAATATTATTAGGGTTACTAGTTTATAGGGAGTATATTACTATTAGTAGTACTTATTATTCCTATAATACTTCTAATAATATAATCTATTAATATAAAGTAGTATTTATTCTAGTTTTTTTTTTTTAGCTAACTAGTTATAGTAGAGCAATTAATAGTAGAGTTTTATTATCTAAATAATAAAGAAGAGGAAACTAAGGAGTTATTTTAAAAGAGAATAGAGGTACTATAAAAAGTATAAGCTGAAATAAATAAAGTACTTATAAAGTTAGATTATATTTATAAAGTAAAGAGAATAGTTTTTAAGAAGAGTTATAAGGAGATATTAGTAGTTATAGAGGAAGGTGAAGTGTCTAAAGTTTCTTCTATAAAGTTTTCTATATTAGAAGTTTAGTCTATAAATAGCTTTAGAGTACTAAACTTAGATTTAATTCTTAATTAGAATCCTAATACTTTAAATTTCTTATTAGGGAAGTTTTAGTTATATTCTAGTGTTTTTAGTTAAATAGATATATTTTCTTATTATATTAGTTTAAGGTATCCTCTTAGTTATACTTATACTAATAGGAGTTATATTCTTTATTTCTTAGCTTCTTTTTATTTCTATTATATTTCTTCTTATATTTATCTTTCTTTTTTATTAGTATATTTTATATATTTCTTAAATTCTTCTAAAGTTATAAGTAGACTTAGTCTATCCTTAAGATTAATATAATTAAGTGTTCTAATATACTTATTAATCTTATTTTAATAGTTAAGTAAGTTATTATTAGGTTCCTATATATTATCTTTATATCTATAGTTTTTCTATTTAATAAGGTATTCCTATTTATTATCTCTATACTAGTAGTTAAGTAACTTTTCTACTTTATATTTTAGTTTATTATTTTCTATAATAATAAGGTTATTTATTTATAATCCTTATAATATTAGCTTAAAAAGTAAAATATAGAATACTAAGTAATACTTTATAGTTTCTAAGAATTTAAGTTTATAATTAACTAGTAAGATAACTTATAAGATTTTAAAAGGTCTAAGTTTTTTATAGTTAAGTTTATTACTTAGTTATTTTATTTTAATATTTTACTATATAAAGTAGG